GATCATCTGGTTATGGGTTTCCTTCATTTTAAAACAGCACAAATTCTTTTATGGGACTAAAAGAGCCTCAGAATTGATGTGAATGTCCTGTCGCTGGTACAATCTCATGACTATTGTGCGAGTAAAATCCACACACTTTCCCCTGAACACCTTAAATGTAAATATGTGAGAGGAAGCCACAGGGAGGAGGGAGCAAGCTTGTTTTCTGCTTCCCTGGAGACTAGGACGCAAAACAATGGCTTCAAACTACAAGAAAGGAGATTCCATCTGAACATGAGGAAGAACTTCCTGACTGTGAGAGCCGTTCAGCAGTGGAACTCTCTGCCCCGGAGTGTGGTGGAGGCTCCTTCTTTGGAAGCTTTTAAACAGAGGCTGGATGGCCATCTGTCAAGGGTGATTTGAATGCAATATTCCTGCTTCTTGGCAGAATGGGGTTGGACTGGATGGCCCAGGAGGTCTCTTCCAACTCTTTGATTCTATGAAATATGTGTGTCGAAGGCTTTCATGGCCGGAATCACTGGGTTGCTGTGAGTTTTTTGGGCTGCCATCCATCACTGAGCTTGTCGGTGACAGGGAGAGCATTTGCACAATTAAAACTTGTGCGCCAGCTGCACCCGTACCTTGGGAAGTCTGACTTGGCCACGGTAGTCCACGCTCTGGTTATATCCCGTATAGCTAGAACCATTTTATTTCAGCATCCCTTGTTTGTTGTTTATTCATTCAGTCGCTTCTGACTCTTGGTGACCTCCTGGACCATCTCACGTCAGAACTCCCTGTCGGCCGTCACCACCCTCAGCTCCTTCAAAGTCAAGCCACTCCCTTCAAGGATACCGTCCACCCACTTTGCCCTTGGTTGGCCCCTCTTCTTTCTCCCTCCCATTTTCCCCAGCATCACTGTCTTCTCTAAGCTTTCCTGTCTTCTCGCGACGTGGCCAAAGAACTTCATCTTTGCCTTTAATATCTTATTTATTTACTAGCCGTCTCCTGCCACGCATTGCTGTGGCCCACATGGGGATTCTGTGTGGGAGGTTTGGCCCAATTCTATCATTGGTCGGGTTCAGAATGCTCTGTGATTGTAGGTGAACTATAAATCCCAGCAACTACAACTCCCAAATGTCAATGTCTATCTTACCCAAACTCCACCAGTAATCACATTTGGGCATATTGAGTATTCGTGTAGAGTTTGGTCCAGATCCATCATTGTTTGAGTCCACAGTGCTCTCTGGATGTAGGTGAACTACAACTCCAAAACCAAACGACACTGCCCATCAGTATTTTCTGTTGGTCATGGGAGAACTGTGTGACAAGTTTGGTTCAATTCCATCGTTGGTGGGGTTCAGAATGCTCTTTGATTGTAGGTGAACTATAAATCCCAGCAACTACATCTCCCAAATGACAAAATCAATTTTTTTGAGTGAAGGACATACATTGGGTTGTTAGGCGTCTTGTGTCCAAATTTGGTGTCAATTTGTCCAGTGGTTTTTGAGTTCTGTTAATCCCACAAACGAACATTACATTTTTATTTATATAGATTTATTCATGCCCTTCTCAACCCTAAGGGGGGACTCAGAGTGGTTTACACTGGCAACCAATTCAATGCCACAACGTACAAAACAATTGTAACAGATATAACAACAATTTAAAACAGTAAATAAAACAGTTAAGTTAAAAACAATTTAAAACGTTATTATCAGCCATATAACCATTTCCAATCCAGTTCAACCTCCAAAGTGCTGTCATGCCTGTTGTCCAAAGGCCTGATCCTAGAACCATGATTTCAGTTTTTTCCTAAAAGAAAGGAGGGATGAAGCCAACCTAATCTCGCTGGGGAGCGAGTTCTACAGACGGGGGTCACGACCGAGAAGGCCCTGTCCCTCGTCCCTGCCAAACGCGTTTGCACAGCTGGCGGGACTGAGAGCAGGGCCTCCCTGAATGATCTTAGGCTACGAGGTGGAACGCAGAGGGAGATACGTTCGGACAAGTAATATCCTTCCCTCCAATAAGCAGTCGGGCTTTCTTTCCTGGAGGATGGACTGGTTGGATCTTCTCGCTGTCCAAGGCACTCTCAGAACTTTCCTCCAACACCACAATTCAAAAGCGTCTCTCTTCCTTCGCTCAGCCTTCCTTCTGGTCCAGCTCTCACATCCTTAGGTGACTATGGGGAATACCATTGCTTTAACTATGCGGATCTTCGTTGCCAGTGTGATGTCTCTACTCTTCACTCTTTTATCGAGATTGGACATTGCTCTCCTCCCAAGAAGGAAATGTCTTCTGATTTCCTGGTCTCAGTCTATCTTTGCACCTAGAAATACAAACCCTGTCTCGGCCTCCATGTTTTCTCCCTCTATTTGCCAGTTCTCAATCAGTCTGGTTGCCACCATCTTGGTTTTTTGATGTTTAATTGCAACCCAGCTTTTTCACATTCTTCTTTCACCTTGGTTAGAAGGCTTCTCTGCTCCTCCTCCATTGTTCACTCATACTTTATATATTTTGCATGTCCGCGTGGGAAAATGGAAGTAGTCAGGAACAACTACCAAATTATTCTCAACATATCCATGTGGCGCATCAAAATCCATAATTTTGTTCCCGAATCCTGCCTTTATTCATGAGTATATACGGTAGCTCCACCAAAGTCAAAATAATCTATCAAAGTATTTATTATGAGCAATGGTCCTTGGAACAGCGAGGACAGTACTTTGGCAGAAACGAGGGAAACATATTCTGTTTTTACTCAGAAGATGGAAATATTCTCTCTATGGATAAAGTTTTGTCCAAGTTCTTTTTCACTTGGTCCTTTCCCTGGAAAGTCACCAGGGAAAGGAAGTGGTTCTCAACCTGGGGTCCCCAGATGTTTTTGGCCTTCAACTCCCAGAAATCCTAACAGCTTGTAAACTGACTGGGATTTCCGGGAGTTGTAGGCTAAAAATATCTGGGGACCCCAGGTTGAGAACCACTGATTTATGGCTCGGGGATGGGCCATCCCTTTGTGGTAGACAATGAACCTGATCATTCTTAGATAATTTTGTTTTTCTATGATTTTGCAGATTGTATTTATATACGAAACACTTGGTGATATGACACCTGCAACCAGAGTTCCAACCTCTGCTCAGCCATGGAAACCCATTGGTTGAACCTGAGCAAGTCATACTTTCTCAGCCTCAGAGAAACCACAACTCATCTGAATGAATCTTAGAATCATTGGCTTGAAGGCACACAACAACAGCAATTTAGCTATGGCTTTTGATCTAGCTCTTCATAGTTAGTATGGTATTCTTCCTCAGAGTCTGGCTTAGGCTGGGGCATGGAAGTGAAACTGCCTTGGTTGACTTAGTAGATGATCTACGCTGGGAACTGGACAGGGGGAGCGTGTCCCTGTTGGTTCTGCTGGACCTCTCAGCAGCATTCGATACGGTAGACCAGTGTTTCTCAACCTGGGGGTCGGGACCCCCGGAGGGGTTGTGAGGGGGTGTCAGAGGGGTCGCCAAAGACCAACAGAAAACGCAGTATTTTCTGTTGCTCATGTGGGTTCTGTGTGGGAAGTTTGGTCCAATTCTATCATTGGTGGGATTCAGAATGCTCTTTGATTGTAGATGAATTATAAATTTCAGCAACTACAACTCCCAAATGTCAATGTCTATTTCCCCCAAACTCCACTAGTGTTCACATTTGAGCATATTGAATATTCATGCTAAGTTTGGTCAAATCCATCATTGGTTGAGTCCACAGTGCTCTTTGGATGTAGGTGAGCTACAACTCCAAAACTCAAGGTCAATGCCCACCAAACCCTACCAGTACTTTTTGTTGGTCATGGTAGTTCCATGTGCCAAGTTTGGTCCAATTCCGTCGTTCAGAATGCTCTTTGATTGTAGGTTAGCTATAAATCCCAGCAACTATAACTCCCAAATGACAATATCAATCCCTCCCAACCCCAACAGTATTCAAATTTGGGTGTATAGAGTATTTGTGCCAAATTTGGTTCAGTGAATGAAAATACATCCTGCATATCAGATATTTACATTACGATCCAAAACAGTAGCAAAACTACAGTTGTGAAATAGCAACAAAAATAATTTTATGATTGGGGGTTCACCACAACATGAGGGACTGTATTAAGGGGTCACGGCATTAGGAAGGTTGAGAAACACTGCCCTAAATGGTTCTGATTCAGCTTACATGTCCAAACAGATCTCATTTTATGAACCAGTTAGAGCGTTAAGATGGCTGGGGAAGTCCTGCCCTTGGTCCCGTCATCTTTGTAGGTGCGATTGGTGGAGACGAGACACAGGGCCTTCTTGGTGGTGGCCCTCTGCTGCAGAATTCCCTCCCCAGCAAAATTAGATCAGCCCCCTCCCTCCTGGCATTCAGGAAATAGTTCAAAACTTGGTTGTGTAAGCAGGCATTCAATGAATGACACCAATGCGCAAGCAGCTAAAGGAAACCAAGAGATCAATGCAATGTTTAGATGTTTTAATGCTTAATGTTTTATGGTTATGCTGATGCTTTGTATAGTTTTTAATGATTGAATTTAAGGATATATGTGATTGCTTTTAGACTTGTAATGTTTCTATATAGATACCGTCCCCTGCCACATGTTGCTATGGCCCAGTCTGTGTATATGTGTTTTGTGCATGTGTGTATGCGTATAAATGTGGTTTTGCACATGCGTTGTAATGTATTTTTTTTATTTTTTGGCTTTTAAAATCTCTTCTGTTGTGTTTTTCAGTGTTTTTATGAGTGATGGTCATTCACTGGCCTGATGGGTGTCTTGTGTCCAAATTTGGTGTCAATTCGTCCAGTGGTTTTTCAGTTCTGTTAATCCCACAAACGAACATTTTTATTTATATAGATGAGGTATTAAATCTTTGCCATTTACTATGTTGTGAACCACTTTGAGTCCTTCTAGGGGTGAAAAAGCAGCCTATAAATAAAATAAATAATAGTAGTAATAATAATAATAATAATAATAATAATAATATTCACCATCACAAAGACATGCTTACCTGCCATTAACAGCAAAACATAGCTCGCACATCCCATGCAATGCCATTGTGGCGTTTTGTAAGAAAGCGGCGACTTTGGGGTTTTCATCAACTGGGCCTTGGACGGAGAGGAAGCAGCAACACAGCTTTTCAACCAATCCTATATTTACCATGTAGCTAGCAAAGAAATAGGGAGAGAGAAAAAATAACATCAGTATCACTGACGTTTTCTATGACAGGTTCTGTGTTGTTCAATCACATCATCATCAAGTAATAATCGTTAGGAGAATTACATCCAGACTTTACAAATGGCCAAGCGCTAGTCTTGTTTCTAAGGAAGAGAACTCAACACAAAAGTCTTTGATATATTTCAGAATGTGTTGTACACCAGAGCAGGAACACCTCCGACCTTAAAAACCACACCAGCTTGGTGAAATTAGCAAGCAGTTTGTTGAAGAATATATGGAGGCAAGCAGTAAAAAATAAAGGTCCAATATATAAAATAGTCCATTGGCTTCAAAGGAAAACAAGATCCATGAGTACATAAAAATCCACAAAACTAGACACTTGAATCCATGAAACAAGACAGCAGGAAAAAAAACTTGGTACATGAAACTCAGAGCACTTGAAACCAAGACCGTGATAAAATAACAGCGCTGACCCGACTGAGGCAACTTTCTCCCGTGAATCATTATAAAGCTTTTTCAGATCCCAAAACTGAAAGGAAAGCATTTTCTTGACCGTCCCACCAGATAAGAGTAAAGAGAGAGGGGGGCAGAAGACAGTTCTACCTTGTCTCCTATGCTATTCTAATAATATAATGTAATAAAATATAATATATTGTATATACATATAATATTTATAATATTATAATGTAATGCAATATAATACTACTACTAATAATATGATATTATAATTATATATGTATATGTGTGGATCATAATAAATTGTGGCAAGTTCTTGGTGGGATGGCATACCAAGCCACCTTGTCTCTCTCCTGAGGAATCTGTACAAGGACCAAGTAGCAACAGTCAGAACTGACCACGGAACAACAGACTGGTTCAAGATTGGGAAAGGCGTACGGCAAGGCTGCATACTCTCACCCAACCTTTTTAACTTGTATGCAGAACACATCATGCGATGTGCGGGGCTGGATGAATGCAAAGCTGGGGTGAAAATTGATGGAAGAAACATTAACAACCTCAGATATGCAGATGACACCACTCTGATGGCCGAAAGCGAGGAGGAGCTGAGGAGCCTTCTAATCAAGGTGAAAGAAGAAAGCGCAAAAGCCGGGTTGCAGCTAAACGTCAAAAAAACCAAGATTATGGCAACAAGAATGATTGACAACTGGAAAATAGAGGGAGAAAACGTGGAGGCCGGGACAGACTTTGTATTTCTAGGTGCAAAGATTACTGCAGATGCAGACTGTGGCCAGGAAATCAGAAGACGCTTACTTCTTGGGAGGAGAGCAATGTCCAGTCTCGATAAAATAGTAAAGAGTAGAGACATCACACTGGCAACGAAGATCCACATAGTTAAAGCAATGGTATTTGCCATAGTAACCTACAGATGTGAGAGCTGGATCTTATGGAAGGTTGAGCAAAGGAAGAGAGACACTTTTGAACTGTGGTGTTGGAGGAAAATTCTGAGAGTGCCTTGGACTGCGAGAAGATCCAACCAGTCCATCCTCCAGGAAATAAAGCCCGACTGCTCACTGGAGGGAAGGATACTAGGGACAAAGTTGAAGTACTTTGGCCACATCATGAGGAGACAGCAAAGCCTAGAGAAGACAATGATGCTGGGGAAAGTGGAAGGTAAAAGGAAGAGGGGCCGACCAAGGGCAAGATGGATGGATGGCATCCTTGAAGTGACTGGACTGACCTTGAGGGAGCTAGGGGTGGTAACGGCCGACAGGGAGCTCTGGCGTGGGCTGGTCCATGAGGTCACGAAGAGTCGGAGACGACTGAACGAATGAACAACACAAAATGTCATGGGTTAGTGTTAAAGTACAACACGATGTGTTGTGATAGAGTCTGCTAGCAATGAAAGTAACGCTGGTAGTATTAGGAGAAGCAGGAAAACTACTCGCAAGCAAGACTCTGTCGGAGAGCAACAGAGGAAAAGAATCCAGGAGATACTTAGTGAGTCAACGGATGAGGATTCTTTTGAAGGTTTTGATGCGGATGATATGCTGGATGATGGGATATCAGACTCTGGGTATGATGGAATGAATTGGACAAGGGTTCAAGAGATTCAGGATATGTGCTGAACCCACAAGCAGTGGCGCTTTTGAAGGTTGGAATAGTGGAGACACGGATGGGTCTTGGGGATCTTCAGGATTAGACCAGAGATGGACTAATTGGAGGAGTGGTGGAAGGGCCACAGCTGGGGATGGGTCGGGTCGGATTAGGGGCAACTCCAGTTCAGACGAGGAACTGCAACAACAAGGTGCAGCTGGGGCAGGGGCGATGGCTGAATCAAACTTTGAGGATGAGTGTAGAAGAGGCCGCAGAAGGGCTTTGAGATAAGAAATTTAAATGTTTACTTTGTTCATACACTAAAAAATGAACACACGTTGCAATGCACTTAGTCGTATTTGCTCCTTTTTGGGGATGAAGGTGGTCCAAAACATGCAACGTGTGCAAATTCTCCACAGCTGAGCGATTAAGAGAAGAAAGGCTACTCTTGATAATAGAAAACCACTCATTGTGGACTGCTTCTAATTGTCCCCATGCCTTCCATTCCTCTGCTTGCCTCAGATTGTTCAAGGGTGGCCCCGGGCGAAAGGCCTGCTCCGATTCCTGGGCACCACCTGAGCTTCCAGGGCGGAGAGGGGTCTAGCCAGTGTCAGGTGTCGCCCAGGTCAAAATACCACAAAGCAGACCTCCCAATTGGAAGAGGCAGTAGCCTGACATTTCACCCTCTTTGAAAAACCTGTTTGGAAAGGGAAGGTGGGCCTGCACAGTTCCCCAAAGGTCAAGGGACTCTGAAGCAGCCCTCAGTCCTCTCTCTCTCATGGAACTAGTTTTCTGTTTCAGCAGACCTCCAACATTATGCACAGGATGCAAAGCCATCTTGTCCCACTCCTTTCCATGCGGACGGATACAATTAAAACAAACATGACTGTTGGGCGAGTGGGCTTATTAACAGAAGACCCTCCCCATGAATATATAGCAGAGTAACTTATTAGCAGCAACACGACCCACCACCAGAAATACAGCTTAATGGTATAACATTAGGAAATGTTGACCATTTCTGCTTCCTTGGCAGCCACCTCTCCACCATAGTCAACATTGACACTGAAATATAACATCGCCTGAGCTCTGCGAGTGCAGCATTTTTCCGAATGAAGAGGAGAGTGTTTGAGGACCTGGACATCCGTAGGGAGACCAAGGGGCTTGTTTATAAAGCTATTGTCCTCCCAACCCTGCTCTATGCCTGCGAGACGTGGACTATCTACAGACGTCACATACAACTCCTAGAACGATTCCATCAGAAAATCCTGCAAATCTCTTGGGAAGACAAGCGGACAAATGTCAGCGTGCTGGAAGAAGCAAAGACCACCAGCATTGAAGTGATGGTCCTCCCCCATCAACTCTGCTGGATCGGCCACGTTGTCCGGATGCCCAACTACCGTCTCCCAAAGCAGTTGCTCTACTCCAAACGCAAGAATGGAAAACGGAATGTTGGAGGACAGGAAAAGAGATTGAAAGATGGGCTCAAAGCCAATCTTACAAACTCTGGCATGGACACTGAGAACTGGGAAGCCCTGGCCCTTGAGCGCTCCAGTGGGAGGCCAGCTGTGACCAGCAGTGCTGCAGAATTTGAAGAGGCACAAATGGAGGGTGAAAGAGAGAAATGTGCCAAGAGGAAGGCACATCAAGCCAACCCCGACCGAGACCGCCTTCCACCTGGAAACCGATGCCTCACTGTGGGAGAAGATACAGATCAAGAATAGGGCTCCACAGTCACCTACGGACCCACCCTGGAGGATTATCCTATTCGGACAACGAGGGATCGCCTAAGTAAAAGGCATAACACAGTTGCTCGGATGATTCATTGGAACTTGTGCCGCAAACATCATTTGCCTGCGACAAAGAACTGGTGGGATCACAAGCCGGAAAAAGTTACAGGGAATGAACACGTCAAGCTACGCTGGGACTTCCAGATTCAGACAGACAGAGTTTTGGAGCACAAGACTCCTGACCTCAGCATCGTGTTAAAAAACAAAGTATGGATCATCGATGTTGCAATCCCAGGTGACAGCAGGGTTGCAGAGAAACAACTGGAAAAGCAGACATGATATGAGGATTTTAAGATCGAACTGCAAAGACTCTGGCACAAGCCAGACAAGGGGGTCCCAGTGGTGATGGCACACTGGGTGCAGTGCCTAAAGACCTTGGCCTGCACTTAAACACAATCGGCTGACAAAATTACCATCTGCCAGCTGCAGAAGGCCACCTTAATGATAATAATAATCCAATACAACAGCCAGCAGAGTGTCTGCTGTGGACTCATCTTGTTGTGTTTCAAATAATAATAATAATAATAATAATAATAATAATAATAATAAGTACAACAGCCAAGATCGACAAAATCACACTCTGTCAGCTGCAAAAGGCCACCTGACTTGGATCTGCGCGCATCATTCGAAAACACATCACACAGTCCTAGACGCTTGGGAAGGGTTTGATTTGTGATTTTGTGATACGGAATCCAGCATAGAGATCTCACTTGCTGTGTGACATACTGTGGTTTTGTGCCAGCAAAATACTACTACTACTACTACTACTACTACTACTACTACTAATAATAATAATAATAATAATGTGTTCTTAGTTTGTTTAGTAGGAGGGTTGAGACCCCAAGGCCTTCTTCATCATCCAAGACTTTGGAAACATTACTTTTTGAGCCATAATTCCTAGGAACTACCCCCAGCACCTGGTGGCACAGGCAGTTTGGGTTTGTGGTCCAAACAAGTAACATTTCCAAGTTCTGGTTGCCACCGAGGATAATTTGGTGGCTGATTTGCTGAAACTTGTTCACATCAACTTGAAAGCAATCCAGAGACTGAGGTGGGATCAACAGATGTTTGGCTTCAGCTCTTCTTGAATGCATTGCATCATCAAATGCCTCATCTGTGTACATCATAGATCAAAACAGGAGCTTCTTTG